CCAGAGAACTCCCTGGATATGACCAGTGCAGGTGGCGACCTTCCAGAAAACAATGTGCTTCGAGACCCAGAATTGCCCGAAGGTGGGCTGGGGATAGGCAGGGCGACACTGTCCCTTGGCGCTTTAGTAAGACATACGTGTGACCGACGGGTCTGAAAGTTAGGGGTCTGTGTGGTGTGATCCCTTGCTTCTGAAACTGCACTCAAGAAAACATGTTCGGTCAATCAGAGGGTTTTATCTAAGTTTCAGAACAAGGTGATGCAACGGTGTAGCGTTCTGCTCAAATCAGCAGAATATCGATCACGGGATTCGATGTTCGGCCACTACCCAAAATCCGAAATCGCGCCTGCTCTGCCGAAAGCCTCACGAGCTACATCGAGCTATGGGACCACGGATGCCTCGCACTGGAACCCACTGTCAAGACAAAGGTATCAAGTCGGATAAGACTATCCTCCGCAGCATCCCCCGAGCCGGAAGGAAGACCCCAGTTGTTTCCTGACCCTTCAAGACAGAGTTCACATTCGCTGCGTGTGTTCACCGAACTGACTCCACGTAGCAATCCCAAAATGCTGGCGCGACTGGGGTTCTGGTCGTCGAGGAGTCGAGGAGTGGATTGGACTGCCGAGATGGCGCCGAGCGAAAAAAGGTGCGCAGACACTTCCAGCTTCCAGACTTAGAGGACATAGGATCTTGAAGGGAGTGGAAGTGGTTGTAAGGTCATGACTGCACACTGTACTGGTAGCTGCTAGTCTGCGAGTGCTATCCAACCTGGAGTAGGAAAACCAGCACTGGAGATCTGACCGTCGACACCCAAAGGTCGGAGGCGTCACAGCCCACTTCGCCCCGGGAGACAGAGCAGTGGAGTTTGTGCAGCGCTCGGAGTTGTGAGCCTCGACCGTCGCCAATGGGAGCAAGAATCGGAATGACGGTAGAGGCTTGTAACTGCGCTTCGAACTGCACTCCGAGCGTAGAATCAAGTCCTTTCGTTTGGGATCGCCGTGTCGAATGCACGGAGGGCACGGATGCCTTGTAGTCTTGCACCAAGAAGCATTAGCCCGTAATCACAACGAGGTTGAGGTGGGTGAGATTGCTTTAGAATGAAGCAAACCCACGAAGCAGCAGCTGGCCTTCAAGGGTTTTCCCTGGAATTGCTGCAACTTATGGAAAAATGCTGGACAACGCAGCGGGAGCCATCGTTGCGTTATGATGTTGTAGCAGAAACAGACTGGAGCGGAACTTCTAGTCGCAAACCCTGGGACTGCATACTCAAAGATGTCCGCCCGGCTACACGTAAGGGCTTAGGGCTACCACGGCGTGATCCCACCAAGGCCGACGGTGAAAGAAGCAGATCCACTCAGCTTGTTCGAAGCTCGGAGCGGCGAGAAAGCCAGAGGTTCTCCTGTCGCCTCAGTTCTTGAACATCCCTGGGTTTTGTTTCGGAGCCTGGCCGTGCAGCTTGGAGCTTTGAGAGTCATTTTCAGAGCCCGGCCGTAGAGGCAAAGGTCAGTTCAGGAAGCTACTCGACTCTCGAAAGGCCGTCCAGGGGAGCACCGACTACGGGCTGATTCGCTAGAAGAGACCCTTGAGCTCCAAGCGCCCAAAGCCCAAGAGCCGTGAAGGCTCAATCCCTGAAAAGCTCCCAAAAAGGCAAGCCCTGAACCAGAAACCCCAGGCCCTGCTTGAACCAAATCCGTGCACTGCGACCTGGGCAGCTGGGCTGGGAAGGAACAAAAACCACATCCTTGAAGCTGAAATCCTCTTAGCAACATCCACGCCGGTCCGAGTTGCGAGAGTCTAAACCCCTCAACAAGGCCTTAAACCATGAAGGCGCCCCGTCCTGTTTAGGTCCATGGGGTCTTCGGGCGGACTCATCGCTTGGAGCAAGGGCTTGCAGACCACTCAGTTTTTGAGTGTCGGGAGGCCCTAACGTAAAGTTCCGCGCAGAAAGTCGTCTTTCTGGCGGTTGTTGGTTTGCTTTTCACCTGGAGTCTGGGGCTTTGGGTGTTTGTGGGATTTGGCGCTTCGGGATTTTGCTCGGAAAGGTAGTCCTTGTCGTCATGACCTTCCGGGAGTACCGTGTGCACTTGCACCCGTGGGGCTGTGTAGCTGAACGCTCTTCTGCAGACGGGTGGATTTCAAGGGAATCCTGTAGCTTTCTGTAGTCGAGAACAAACCCGGCTTGCAAATGCACCTCAAGCTAGAAGAAGATTCAGAAGTGGCATGGAGCGCCATTTCCCTTGGACATGTTAGGCTGACGCCTCACGTCACGGGTCATCGGGCATATATGACAAAGCTGAGCATGTTCTGTGCGGCGACATGGACTTACCTCCGAACCAGATCCAGAAGCCAGCCTACCGATGTTCAAGCCACCCTGTGCCTGCGCAGCCCTGCGTGGACTTTATAGTGCATCTTTAGGAGGCATTGACAGCCCCCCAAAACACAGTCACTACACAACCCGGGCGCGAAACTAAGCCTGGAAGCCTCGATGTAAGCTATCCGAGGCAGCCGGATGCCCTGTCTCCACAGGCTTCCTTGGCATGCTTCTTCCCCTCCACATGATCCCGCAGCTCAAAGAGAGCC